TCGACGCTGTCGTCGCCGAGAGTCTCCCCGCGCTGCGCTCGTTCGGGGCGGCCGCCGCTGCTGCAAGCCGCCGAAGCCGAGGCCCCTGACTCCTCGGTCCGAGCTAGACATGGGCGATCGCCTGAGCCGCCCCGCGAGCCTCGCTTGAGCCAAAATCGCTGGGGTGCCAGCTGGTCAGCTGCCTCTCTCTCCCCTCCTTCCCGTCCTCCCCCCCGTCTCCGACCTCCTCCTCCTCCCCTTGCAGGGCGCTTAGGGCGCGCCCTAACACCCTGAGCCCCTTCACATTCGTGCTGCAGTAAGCCATTCGCGACGAATCTGTTGCGCCTTTCAGCCCTTTCAGGGCCGTACTCCCGTCTCTCATTCGTTTCGGCCTGGCTCCGCAGTTTTTAGTCGCAGTGCGAATTTTCGGACGCTGGTTAGACGACGGCGACGACGACCGACGACCGACGACGACGAAGACGACGACGACGACGATTGACCGACCGACCGACCGACCGACCGACCGATGACGACGGCGACGACGGACGACGACGACGATGACGACGACGATGGCGACGACAACGACGACAAGGACAACGACGACGACGATGACGACGACGACGACGACGACGACGACGACGACGGACGACGACGGACGACGACGACGACGGACGACGACGACGACGACGACGGACGACGACGACGACGACGACGACGAGCGACGAGCGACGAGCGACGACGAGGACGACGACGACGGCGGCGGCGACGACGACGACGACGATTGATGGCGACCGACGGGGCCGCGACGACGACCGACGGCGAAAACGATGAGTGACGACGACCGTCGACCGACAGCGACCGACCGACGACGACGAGGGACGACGACGACCACGATGACGACGACCGACGACGACGACGACGACGACGACGACGGCTGCGGCGACGAGGAGGTAGGAAGAGGTCGGATGACGGCGGCGACGACAAGGGGGCGGAAGGAGGTAGGATAAGGAGGAATGTCGTTTTTACAGGGGCTCGCAAGAGCATGGAGAGCCACTCGATTGAACGCACTTCGTTCGATTGCCAATTCGACGCGCGCCTGCGCTTCGGCAAACTGTTGATTCGCGTGGTGATTGCAAGCGGTAGACAAACCGCTGGGAGTGGAAGCGGTAGACAAACCGCTGGGAGTGGAAGCGGTTGACAAACCGTTGGGAGTGCAGACTGTTTTGTCTTGGTGCTTTCGAATCTTCTTGCAAACGGCGTCGCATTCATCGCCCGAACCCCTCGGCCGCCTTCCTGCTTCCCTCGGGCCCCCGCGTTCCTACCTAGAGGAACTTGTCGCTGGTTGGCACCTTGTGCTTCTTGCACTGCTGGGCGCGCCACTCCTGACGAGAGATTGCGAGTCTAGGCGAATGGCTCGCAACAGGCACTCGCGATCGCCTGGGTGCCTTTCTGATGCGAATGGCGCCCGAAGCGACGACGAGCGCCGCGCGCTTGCATTCGGGAGTTGGGCCCCCTTCGCCTTGGCTCTCTTCTCTGCCTTCGTCTTCTTCTCTGCCTCGTAGCTGAATTGCGCGCCCTTGAAGCCGGTGCACCGGCGCTGAAACACGCTGCGGCTCCGCTCGTCGCTGTAGGAGACGACGGGGCCCTTCGCCTTGGTCTTCGCCGCGGCATTGCTCTTCGCCGCTGCCTTGCCCTTTGCCTCGGTCTTCGGCTCCGACTCGCCCTTGAGCTTGCGCCTCCCCTTGGTCTTGCCGCTCCCCGTGTCCGCCAAGAGAGCGGCGGTGGCCGCTGACGCGGTCAGCGCCTTTTTGGGCCCTTCTGGCTCCTCCCCCTCGTCTCCCCGCCCTTCCCTCGCCTCGTTGACCGGCGGGGGCGCCCGCGGAGACGCGTGGGGCCCACGCGCGGGGGGCGTCATGGAACTTGAGCCCGAGGTCCTCGCGGCGTCGCCCCGCTCCGAAGGCGGGCCGGATCTCGCCCCCGAGCATTCGGATGATGGGGCCCATCTCTCAGAGCCCCGAATCATCAGGGGTAACTCGGGTCAGGGATAACTCGGGTTTCTTTTTCGGGAATCCGAACCCGAGTTACCCCGGACCCGAGTTACCCCGGATAACTCGGGCGCCCAGAGCCCCGAATCATCAGGGGTAACTCGGGTCAGGGCTAACTCGGGTTCCTTTTTCGGGAATCCGAACCCGAGTTACCCCGGACCCGAGTTACCCCGGATAACTCGGGCGTCCAAATCTCCGAGGAGGTCGACGCCGCAGCCTGCGTCGGGGCTGCTTTCTGCTGGTGGACGCGGCACTCTGCGAGGCGCACCAACTCTTTGAACGCCCTCACGGGCATCGGGGATTTGGTGTCCTCGGGGCCGTTTGGGAACGCTGCTTGAAGCAGCTTGGGGTGCATCCGTTTGAATGCCTCGGGAGTGCTCGGCAGCGACTTCGCGTACTCAGGTGGATTCGGAAGTGCACTGACGAAGCGCTTGTAGCTTGCTTTGAGCGGGCTCAAGGAGCTGCTGCGCACCGCGGGGGGCATCTTCGACGTCGCGTCGATGCCTTATGCGACGCAAAGCACGGCGACGCCAAGAGCTCGCATGGCCCCCTCCGTGAATCTCCTGAGGCCCATCCTCGCGCACAAGTCAAAAGCCTCATCCGTGCAGCAGGTCTCCTCGAGCCTGGCCCACGCGCATGTGGGAACGAGAAACGCAGCAGCTTCGTAGTTCTGCCTCTTGCCGCCTTCGCCCCGCACCTCTACCTCTGGCCCAGCGTCTGAGTAGGAAGGGCCGTCGGCAAGCAGCTCGCCCACTTTCTCGAGGAGCATCGCCTTGTCCGTCTGGTGGAAGCCCGCGTTCTTGATCAAAGGGCCAAGCTCAAGCCTCGTGCGTGACGCGGCCGTTAGACGACAGCTGCTGCAGCACCTGCTCCCGCTCGGACTCGGCGACTCTCTGGAAGTTCTTGGCGCCTGCCAGAGCTGCCAGCACGCTGGCGCTCGCCTGCAGGCGGGCCACCAGCTGGGGGGCAGCCATGGCCGTGCCGCAAAGTGCAACGCCTGCTCTGACGGAGCCGAAAAGCTTCCACGGCGCAGATTGCGCCCCCCCCGAAAAATCCAAGCGAGGCGGTTGGCCAAGCGCTGGTCCGAACATCACGCGGGGCGTTCGCTTTATTTGAGCTATTTTAGGAGGCTATTTTGATACAACTAAGATGTACGTAGTTGGCCTATTGGGTTTGATATTCGTGTTGCAAGCATTGTGTAAGACCTGCGTGTTGCTAGAGCAACTTCAACAATGAGTTCTGCAACATGCGCACGTATGCGCGCATCCTAATCAATGCTTATTGTCTCGCTGTTAGCCTTGTAACGTTACTCGAAGAAACGCTGTGCTATTCGAGCTGCAGCTCTCTATAGATTAGCTGCAGGGGCCTTATTGCTCGCTTGCAGAACTAACAAAGGGGCAGGGCATTGCAGCAGAGGGGGGGGGGATTTTCGGATGGGAGGGGGGGGGGAACCCCCGGATTCCGCAGGAAGGGGGTAACTGTCCACAGTAAAACGGCGGTGGATCACGCTCCCTCATATCTTCAAACCGTAAATTTGAGCCAAACCGGATTCTCAGAGTGGTCGCGCGTCGTCCTGCTCCTGATTCGCCTGCGCCTTCGGCGTCGTCGTCGAGCTGTTCGTCATCGTGAAACGTGCAGGACCATCTCCCGCGCAGCATCTCGGAGCCCGGAATTGCAAGAACATCTCGGGCGAAACGCGCCAGACAACCTCGCGCGTTGCGTCTTCGTGCTCAGAGTTGTGAGACTGTTTCGGGCGAAACGCGCCATACCACCTCGCACGCGGCGTTTTGGTGCCCAGAGTTGCAAGGATGCCTGTGGCGAAACGGGCCAGACCACCTCGCGCGCAGCATCTCAGAGCCCAGAGTTCCGATGATGCATCAGGCGGAACGGCCCAGGCGAACTCGCGCGGCACGCGAGGATGGACGAGGCGGCGCCCAGACGCCTTCCAGAGCATGTTTCGCCAACAGAGGTGTAAGACCCCGCCTCCCTCCTACCTGTCGGAGCCCAGGGCTTCGAGGATTTCTCAGGCAAAACGCGCTGGACGCCCTCGCGCGCAGCATGTCGGACCCAGAGTTTCGAGGATGTCTGACCACCTCGCGCGCAGCATCTCGGAGCCCAGAATTGTGAGGATGTCTGAAGCGAAACGGGCCAGACCACCTCTCGCGCGGCATCTCGAAACCCAGAGTTGCAAGGAGGTCTCAGGCGAAACGCGCCAGACCACCTCTGGCGTGGCGTCTTGGAGCCCAGGGTTATGAGGATGTCTCAGGCGAAACGCGCCAGACCACCTCGCGCGTGGCAGCTCGGAGCTCAGAGTTGCGAGGATATCTAATGCGAAACGCGCCGGACTACCTCTCGCGCAGAATCTCGGAGCTAGAGTTGCGAGGATGTCTCAGGCGAAACGCGCCAGACCACCTCGCGGACGACATCTCTCGGAGGCAAAACGCGCTTGACCGCTTCTCTCCCCAGCATCTCGGAGCGCAGAAGCGTGAGGATGTCTCAGGCGAAGCTCGCCAGAACGCCTCGCGCGCGACAGCTCGGAACTCAGAGTTGCGAGGATGTCCCAAACGAAAGGCGCGGTACCACCTCTCGAGCAGTATCTCGGATCCCAGACTTGCGAGGATGTCTGAGGCGAAACGCACCGGACCACCTCGTGCTCGGCATTTCGGAGCCCAGTTGGGAGGAGAGGATGTCTCATTTGAAACGCGTTGGACCACCTCTCGCGCAGCATCTCGGAGCACAGAGTTGAAAGGATGTCTCAGGCGATTCGCGCCAGACTACCTCGCGCGCGGCATCTTGGATATCAGCATCGTTAAGATGTCTCGGGCGAAACGCGCCGGACTACCTCTTGCGCGGCATCTCGGAGCTCCGATTTCCGGGAATGTCTCAGACGAAACGCCCAATCCCAGCCACATCGGAAACGAGAGTTGTCAGGATGTCTTGGGCGAAGCGGCTTGGACTACACAATTTTGTTTGAGAATGCCTCTCCTTTGGCCTCCCTCGGCCAGAACTAGCTCCCATCACAGCAGCACCCCGTTCAGCAAGCTGTTTGGGGAGCGATCAGGCAAGAGGGTCTGGGGTCAGTCCGCCTGGGGTCTGTGGTCGCCAGTCTCCCCGGTGCCGGGTCCCAAGCAGCACGACGACGTTGTGGATGTCGACCTCGCGGTGCGCCTGTGGAGGCTGGCGAGGAGTGCGGACGGCAGGGCCGAGGCGGCGGCGCTCTGCAAGGCGATCTGTTTGGGGCAGTCCCTCAAAGGCAAGGTAAGGAGGGGGATCGCCACAGCATGCTACTACTATACGTGCGTCGCCCACACACGGGCGACGCGCGCGCTGAGAAACCGTATAGTGTAAGCTCCGTGGCGTGTGCTTTCTGGCCATACATTATGAGATGGTTGTGCTATATGTTCGTGTCGGACGCACGCCTCCTGGGAGGACACATAGTACTAGTATGTCCTTCTGCGTCCCATGATAGGCTCAGTGGGGAACGCATCGACCCCCAATCATGCAGTCACCGCCGCTCGGGGCCCATCGCCGATTCATCAGCGATGTATCGCCGAATCCATGTCGACCTTCCCCCCCCCCCCTGAGCGGCCCCCCCACATATGTTGACCCTCCCCCCCTCCTTTCCCAGACCCCCTCCCGTCGTGGACAAAAAATAACGACGGAAGGTGTTTGCTATTTGCAGATTCTGGGAGCCCTCCCGGGCCCCGGGACCTTCCAAAAACGATTCAGGATGAAAAGCTGGTTCTGGAGAATGGCTGGAGATTTCCCGGGGTCCGGGTTGGGATTAGGTCACGACGTCGGGGGTCTGGGATTTTTGTCCCAACTCTTGTTGGTTTGACTTTCACTTCGCAAGTCTTTCATCTTTTCTGGGGGCCCATCGTCGCGGCTGGGCTAAGCTGAAAAAACTTGCCATGATGGCCCCAGGGATGCAGGGGGCCGATTTCGGGCGGATTCCTGGCCAGGGGTTCCCCCCCAGGGCTCCCTCGCGTCGTGAACAACAGCATCGCGACGGGAGGGTTCTTGTTTCTCAGTTGTCGACTCCTCCCCCCTCTTCTCGCTCTCCCCCCAACACCTCACTCGCCCCCTCCTCTCCATTTCGCCAGCTCCCTCCCCAGTTGGGCAAGCCCTGAAATTGCAACCAGCCGAGGCTTCTGCGAGAAGGGCGCTGATCTGGCTGGGCCGGTCGACGCCAAAGCTGGGTACGCTTGTCGTCTGGCTAGACCCGACGCTCGGGCGCTTACTGAGTAGGCGGCCGTCGGAAGTATAGACTCGGCCAGCGTCGGTGTATTGGTTCGGCCAGGTGCGGGCACCGTTGAAACAGCACAGTCTTGCCATCCGACCAGGCCCGTCGCTGGGGAGCTCTCTGAGCAGGACGGTGTGCTTCGCGTGAGCGCGTTCAGAAATGGCAATGTACCGGTTGTACTCCGTTGAGAGCCCCCGAGCGACCTTGTGTTTTCTGTGTGGTCGTTTCCCCCCTGGTCTTTCTGATTGTCTAGGTCTTGTCTTTCAGGTGCGTCTTGTTTGTCTGGTATTGCCTGCGTTGTCCAGAGCCCAGTCTGTCTGGTCTGTCTCTGACGGGCTTCATTCGCAGTTAGGCCTCGGGCTCCGTCCGCAGGCTGAGTCGATGGTTCATGTGATGTGTCGTGAAGGTTGACAGCGGACTTGCATGGATGGTTGGGTTCTACCAAAGGCACGCTGACTGCTGTGCAGGAGGGCCTTCTGGCTAGACCCTTCGCTCGACGCTCGATGATCAGACGACCGCGAGACGTATACGCAAGGTCCTCTCGCTTCGCCGGTTTCTCGTCGTTGCCTCGAAGGAAGTTGCTGCGTGTCTGCGGCGGCAACATTCAGGAGGGAAAGAAACACACAGACACAATGAATCGTCGACTCCCAGGAAAATATGCAAAAATATGGGAAGTGGGGGGGGAGACAGAAACCCAAGAAATATAGGAAAATATGGGGAATATTTTTATTTGTGTGTATTTATTTGTGTGTCCTGGGGCCCCTTCAAACATGGGGCGGATGGCCCAGACTGGAGCACCACGCATATCCAGGGTATCCGATGTCCCAAGTCTTCGACGAGGCTCCCTTGAGAATGCGTGAGAATTTGTGTGTTGCCCGCCACTGGGCTGTCCACCCTCTCGTCTCAGCCAGGCGGGCTCTGGACCCGCGTTGCAGGGGTCTCTCGGAGGCGCAGTGCCATATCCGCCGACACCCCTCGTGGAGGCCATTCCGCTGCCAACCCATCCCTTCCCGTTGCGCAGGTTCCTTCTCTATCCGCGCGCGCGCTGGTCATAGCGGACCCAGAACTTCAAACAGCGACCCCCCGAAGTTGCGCACCCTGCAGGAGGAGGTGGCGGTGGCGTATGAGCAGGAGGGCGATGAGGAAGAAGGAGGACAATGACGACCAGCAGCAGACGGATTTGGAGTGGAAGGTGCAGAAGGAGCAGGAGTTCCATTTTGTCACAACCAAAAGCAACCCTCGCGGCCATGCCTGGTTAATCTATCCTCTGGTGTGCTGTCTTCCAGCTTTCCATTCGTCTCCGCTCCTCAGCAGCTGGATGCTGTCTGCTAGCCGTGAGCCGGCTCGGAGGATAGCATTTAGATCGCACTGAAAAGACAATTGTGTAGTTGTGCGTTTGGCTCGAGCAAAGCTTGCCGGTCCAGCTGGGCAAGATAGTGGGAGAGGCGGAGGGGGAGTTCCAGGGGAAGGAGGGGAACGGAGGGGAAAAGACAATGATGAGGAAGGACTCAGATCCAGAAAAGTGGCCCGCGCCGTCACCATAGCGCCATTCTGAACGACTTGAGCAAAGCCCCGATCATAAAATGAGGCCCCCCGCTGCAGCGGGAGCACCATGTTGGAAGGCCCGAGGACGCTCGGCTTGGAAAGACACACACCAGCTCGGGCCCATCTTGTTGCGTAGAACATCGAATTCGAGCTCCAGCAGCATGTCCGGTCCGAGGGATGAGCCCATCCACACCCTGGGATCTCGGACGGAATCCAGTCGGACATCCAGGCGCCTTGCCGAAGCACTCGCTTGGGGAGGACATGGGAAGGCCGACCCCTCGGATCGAGCACCCTCCCAGACATCCGAGTGTGTGATTCATGTCCATTCGTGGCCCCAGAGCTTTTGACCCCTTCCATGGGGCCGGTTTTCAGCCCTGAATTTGCTCCTGATGGCCCCAGTGCCCGATGACGAGCCCTAGGGGTCGGGATCAAAGAAAGATGCCCATATTGAAACTGATTCGATGCGGAGATCCCCATATGTGTATCTATTTGCCTGGATTTTTTGTTCACTGCGATTGTCCGGGTACGAGAGAGGCTGGGTATGCGTGGGGTTGAGTAACAGAGATTGAGAGCGGGTGAGTCTGAGTGTGGGTGAGTCTCCGTGAGCGAGTTTTGGTATGAGTTAGTATGCCGAAGCTTAGGGCAAATGTATCTGAGTGTGAGTGGTCTGAGTGTTAGAATGGGTCTGAGTGTGTGTGTGTGTGCTGAAAGTGAGCGGTCTGAATGTGAGTGTGAGTATGAGTCTGAGCGAGTTTGAGTGTGAGCTTCGGCTCAGCATATATGACAAGGCAGAGTCTGAGTATGAGAAGTCAGAGTGCGAGTCTGAGGGTGAGCGAGTCTGGGAATGAACGACCTGAGACGGAGCAGACGGGAGGAAAAAACAGTGCCGCCTGTTACTCTGCCCATTGCCCTCTTCCCGCCTGTCTTGCTGACCCCTCGGGCCTTTCGTGATCGCGCCTCTCGGTTCGTGTTTCGTGCTCCAGTTTTTCCGTCGGCTCCTCCTCGGCCCACTTCGCTTGATCGCGGGCCCCCCCTCTTGCTGTCTGTCTTCAAGTGGGCGACGCAGAAGAAAGGGGTCGTTTTCATTGACATTGGCGCGCAAGCGTCCTGCGTAAGGGTCTTCAAAGGTGTCCGTGGTTCGATCGGGCTCGGCTCGGTGCGGTCATTTGCTGTTTCGTTGCTGCGTCGGCGCGCCCTTCTGGGCCGCTCGCGGTCTGCCTGCTTCGGCCTGGTCTGTCGGTTCGGTCGGCCTCCGGCTCTGCTGTCGCCGTGGACGGCCTCGTCGTCAGGCAGACGCTTCCGCGTGCAGTGCTTGCGGCCATCGTTGAGTGTGTGCGTCGTGTGGACCCTGCCCAGGCTCTGCCCGTGGTCACCGACCACGCTATCATTCTCACAGGTTTCCTGGCGGGCCGTGCTGCCTCTGCGAGGCTGGCCAATTTTGACCCATGGTGGGAGCTCTGGCAGTTCCTCTCGGAGCGCTCGGGTGCGTTTTCGCTTTCCCATGTCCCCAGCCACCTGCTGGAGGACTCCCAAAAGCTTGCCCAATTTGGCGACCCTGTGGACTGAGTCCATGTTGTGCCCGACTCCGTCGTTGATGAGCTTTCCAACTTGCGAGCCCGAGTCTGCCAGGTCCCAGATGTTCTGGTCAAGGGTGATAATGAGCTCGTTTCCATTGCCTGCCTCAACCTCAAGCGCAATGCGCCCATTATCCTCGAGTGCGCGGCCCTTGAGGCCGAGCCAGAACGTCGACTGCACAAGCAGCCGCTTGATTTGGTGCTCCGCAGGCGTCGGTGGATCGAAGCTGACGTGAGGGGCTCGTCTCACGTGCGGGGCTTCGCTTCGGGGGCTTGGACGTGTGGGATGTGCAAGGCTCCGCTCTCCGACGTCGCCCCCCCTCTTCGAGCGAGGCTCTGGTCTGCCTGTCCTGCTTCTGGAGGAGGTGGAAGTGGGGGGCTCGTCGGTGTATAGGCGGAGGAGGTTTTACGAGCAAGAAGTGGGCGAGGCCGGGACGGCCCTTTCCCACGAGGGACGACTCCCCCTGGCGCTCTCTGGCGCTCTCTCTGCGGCTCGACCCGCTGCCCGAGCGAGTCTCGCCCCTTGGGTGTGTTGGGCAAGCGACGCAGCCCATCCCTCGGACGTCTTGTGGCGGAAGGGTGCCCGCTCTTGCTGCGGTGAACCCAGACCCCCTCAGGTAATGAAAAAATCATGACGGGAGGTTTTTGGTTATTTTTGGCGCCTGGGGGCCCTTACCGGCCCTCGGGACCGTCAAAAAACGATTCAGGATGCAAAACCGGTCCAGGGGAATGGGTCGAGACCTCCAGGGGTCGACGTAATGAAAAAATCATGACGTCGGGGGTCTGGGAATGTGACTCCTGGGCAATAGCTCGCCCAGTCTCTCTGCGGGAGCCCTGTCCTGTGGCCGCGTTGGGGCCGCATGCAATCACCAAGCACCAGCGCGAGGACCTGCAGCGGGTTCGTGGAGGTCTCCCGCCCTCTTTGTGATCTCGGGGTTGGCTTGTTCTTTTCACCCCTGCCAGGCAAACCCTGCAGCTCTTGCGCTCTGGAGTTTGGTTGGCAGCGGCGCGCTGAAAGCAAAAAAAAGCCTCGTCTTCAGACTCGGACAGGTCTTGACCCTCGACTCCCTACGTCATCCTCCCTCCTCGACGCGAGGGGTGCCAGCTTGAATTCGCGCCTCGCGCCTCGCGGGCTCAGCCGAACCAGGCTTGGCGCTTTGGGCTGTTGATGACCCGTCCGGCAGCGCAACCGAAAGGGAGGTGGCGCTGCGAAGAAAGTCACGGCCCGCCCGCGAGCGCGCACAGGTCCAGTGTGTGCCGGAGGTGGTCCTGGCCTGGGGTGGACCGGGCGGCCCAAAGGGCTGCCCCATGCTTCCCAGGGGGTCACCCTGCTGGCCCTTGCCCGTTTGGCGCACGTTCCGCCCCACCGGCCAATGGCCCAGCAGGTAGGCATTCGCCCCTGCCTGGCAGCTCGCCGCTGCGTCGCCCTGCCCCTGTTGCCTCCTGGCTGCTCGCCGGGAGCCCTCGCCCAGCCCCCGCTTCCGCTGGGCGCCGCCCTGTCCTTGCTGTGATGTGTGCATAAGCCCTGTGCACGGCTCGCTGCCTCTTGCCCTCCCGCCGTGCCTGGCCTTTTGCGTGGCCTCCACGCGCCGCTCTGCGGCAGCCGGGCGCCTGGGCTCCCGGGCTCCATCTGGCCACCCGGCTTTGCTTGGCCGCTCGCCCCGCTTCTTGCCGCCGCTCCCTCCCGGCGTCGCGGTCGCGCTTCGCATCCGCCACGCGGCACCAGCGCAGGTCCGTACGCCCAGCCCATCGCAGCTGCCCCTCGCCGCCCCCGCCTGCCCCCCCATTCTCACCGCGCCCCTAACCCGCCGTCTTGGCGGTCCGCCGCTCCTGCTGCGCCCTACTTGGGCACCGCCTTGCACTGCAGCCGCCAGCTCCTCCCGCGACGCCGCCCCGCGTTCGCTGCCAAGGGCAGCCCTGTGGCTCGGCCGCCCCACGCGCCCCCCCCGGCGTCGCCGCGTGAGTGCGTTTTCTTTTCCCTCCTCCTGCCTTTGCGGCCGCTTTTCGTCTTTGTCTGGGCGCGCGTGCGGACTGCCTCTGCCGCGCTGCGACGTAGAAGAAATAAGGCATCTGACACGAGTCAGGAACGACGAAAACCCAACTCCATGCCGTCTTGGTCTGGATGCCTAGGCGCGATCCCAAGCATTTGGACTGACACGCTGCGCGGGGCATCCGCGCGAGCCCGCCTTGTGTATCCGTTGGGTCGCAGTCGCGGCCGAATAGGCCGGACCGCGAGGTCGTACAAATTGAATGGTTGATATTGCCTGCCTGCGCGCGAGGCCGAGAGGGCCCCAGGAATGCCGGCATGACGCGAGCAGCTGAGGACACCTCTCTTGGTCGACCAGATGCGGTCGGAGTAGATGGGGTCGGAGGATGGCGCCGCATCGCCGATGCTTCGGCGTTCGGCGATGCGGGGCAATGCGTAGCCCGATCTTCTCCACGCCGACGGTGGCGATGCATCGCCGACGTTGCCAGTGTATTCTTGATGCGTCGCCGATGTATCGTCGATGCGTCACGATCCGCCGACCCCATCGAGTTGGACCTCATGCGGGAGGCTTTCAACCTCGGGCCAGGACAGTTTTTGCGCCAACCCCCGGCACCGTGCGCCGCCGAGGAACACTGGGTTTTGCTGGGAGCGGGTGTATTCGAGCCGCCCCCGTGGCCCAGCTGGAAACGGTGTTGAGAACCCTTTTCGTGCTCGGGTATGGCATCGCCGATACAGAACGCCGAACCGCGTCTCACAGGAGTGTGGTTGCGGCAGGCTCGTGTCATGTCGACGCGGCGGCGACATTGGCGCGGGCGTTCAAGATGGAATGCAGAGGTTCCTGAAGACTTTGAGGGGGCTGGACGGGGCAGAAATTATGGCGAGGACGGACGAATTGAACTCTACAGATCACGCTTGCGATTGAGTCGTCGTCGTCCCAGGTTTTCTTGTGTAGTCGCGGCCATGCGTCTTCTGTTCCCACTGCCGTCCCAAGCTTCGAGCACGTGCCCGCCACCGCTGCCACGAGCATTCAAGCCGAGTGCAGAGCTGATTCATCCGCGCCCCGATCCCAGAGTCACCTTGCGCTGCATGGCGCCCATGGCGGAAAATCCTCAGGCGCGCCTGTTTCGTTGGCATTGGCACGTTATTCACGCTTGACGTTGAACAGAATGCGGAGCCTGCTCTTAGGTTTATTGCAAGGGCCGTACAGCCGGTGCCAGTGACCCTGATCGACGGCGATGACGACACCGACGACGACGACGTAACGATCGTTATCGAACTTGTGATCTTCTGATGTTGAGTAGCGTACGACACATCCTACATCCCATGTCTATTGGGTAATATTCCTAGACTTACGAATGGCACAAACACCTTAACTTGTACTGGTGTTATTACCAACACATTCCGCTCCTACCACTACGAACACTACGTCGGACAATTGTACTTATTGATATTGTTACTGTTATTTCTACTGCCATCATTTGTATATTCCCACTATTGCTACTACTACGACTACTACTACGACTACTCCTATTACTACTACTGCGTACTACTACGACTACTCCTACTACGACTGCGACTACCACGGTTATTATGATTATTCCTACTAGTTTTATTACCACCACGACTACTACTACTATTGCGGCTACTACTACTACTACTACTACTACTGCTACTACTACTACTACTACTACTAGTAGTACCACCACTACTACTACTACTGCTACTACGACGACTACTACTACTACTACTACTACTACTACTACTACTACTACTACTACTACTACTACTACTACTACTACTACTACTACTACTACTACTACTACTACTACTACTACTACTACTACTACTACTACTACTACTACTACTACTACTACTACTACTACTACTACTACTACTACTACTGCTGCTGCTGCTGCTGCTGCTGCTGCTACTACTACTACTACTACCATTACTACTACTACTACCACTACTACTACGACTACTCCTACTACGACTAGCACTACTACTACTTCTACTAATCCGATGACCACTACCATTACCATTAGTATTACGACTCGTGCAATTACATCTACTACGACTAGTATTGCTACTACTACTATCACTATACTACCATATCTACCATTGTTTCTACCAGTACTACTGCTACGACTACTACTACTACTACTACTACTATTACTACTACTACTACTACTACTACTATTACGACTACTGCTGCTACTAAGATCTCTTTTGTTACTACTACTTCTACGACTACTACTACTACTACTACTGCTACTACTACTACTACTACCACTACCACTGCTACGACTGTGTTTACGTGTGCTATTCTTATTATTATTATTACTACTTCTGCTACTACTAATACTACTACCACTACTACTACTACTACTACTACTACTACTACTACTACTACTACTACTACTACTACTACTACTACTACTACTACTACTACTACTACTACTACTAATACTACTACTAATACAACGAACACCACCAATATTATTATTAGGTTAGAAGATCGTTTGGGCCCCCCGCGTTTTTAAGAAAAAAAACTGCATGGGCCGCAGCGGCCCCCCCTTTCTGTTTTTCAGGGGCTGAGGGAACCGAATGCTGAATAGCGAGGCGTCGGCATCGCCAGCAGCAAGCGGAACTGCGATGGCGAGGATCGACAGAGCTTTATAGGAATTCAAAGAATTGTGAATTTGAGTAGGATTCAAATAGGAATTCAATAGGCCAGGTCCAGACCCCAGATTCAGAGAGGGGGAGGAGGAAGGAGCTGTCCGTTGCGTGTTGTATGATGCCGTGTGTTTGTTTGTTTGTTTGGACCATTTTGAATGTTTGTTTGGACCTCTCAGGCGGGAGCCTCGTTTTGAGTGTTTGTTGGGGGACCAGAGGATTCATATTGATGTTGGATGGGACCCGAAGGAAACCTCACTAGAAACGGAGCAGATCCCATATCCAAAGGATTCCTATTGAGTTTGAATAGGACCCTAATCGGATTTCAATAGGAACGGAGCATCTCCTAAATCCAGAGGGTTTTCATTGGATTTGAATAGGATGCGAATTGGATTTCAACAGGAAGGGGGCAGGTCCCAGATCCAAAGAATTCCAATTGAATTTGATCAAGTTTGTGATCATATTACGGTAGGAAAAGAGCAGATCCCAGATCCAGAGGGTCCCTATTGAATTTGGTCCGGGTTCGCATCAGATTGCAAAAGAAACGGAGCAGATCCCAGATCCAGAAGATTCCCAATGGATTTGAATCGGGGTCGATTCGGGTTTCAATAGAAACGGAACGGATCTCAGATACAGAGGATTCCGCCGATGAGGGGGATGGCAGAAGCAGAAATAAGTGGAAAGCATCGAAGACGAGGATGCTGAGGAGATGAGGGGAATGAGAAGGATGAATGATGATAGGAGCGAAAGGAGGAGGAGAGAGGAATATTATGATAAGGAGGAGGAGGAGGAATATGAGGCGGATAAGGAGGAAGGAGGAGGAGAGAAGAGGAGGGGGAGGACGAGATATGAGGAGAGACGCGAGGAGGCAGCAGGAGGAGGAAGAGGAGCATGAGGATGAATATCACTCCCTCTCCGCAGTCTTCCATGTGGGGGATACGAAGAAAAGGAGGAGGAATAGAACAAGACTGAGGATGAGCAGTGATCCTCATCATGTGCCTCCTCCTTTTCCTTACCATATCGCTCGCCCGCCTCTTTATCATCATCATCATCATCATCATCATCATCATCATCATCATCATCATCATCATCATCATCATCATCATCATCATCATCATCATCATGGTCCTACTTCTCTACATCCTACGGATTCTGCTGCTCCTCACACCACTCCTCCATCGCAGCCTCCTCCTTCTCCTCCTGCACCTCTCCGCCTCCTCTGCACATCCTCCTCTGCCTCATATCACTCTCCCTCCGCCTATCCCCCCCTCCTTCTCCCATAGGGGCGATGGGAGGAGGATGGGAAGGAGGAGGACAAGTGATGCAACGATGAGAATTGGGATGGCGAGCATCCCTTTGGAAACCATTCCAAAGGGATTCTCTAGGACAGCCTCCTCCTTCCTCCGCCTCCTCCTCTTCCGCATCCTCCTCTTCCTGCTACCCTTCCTCCTCCTCTTCCTTGTTCCTTCTCCTCCTCCCCCTCCTCCTCCTTCTTCTCCTCCTCCTCCTCCCAATCATAATTCCCTTTACGGAGCAGAATCAAGCAACACTCTTGGAAATAAGCAAACAAAAAGCACACACAGCAATCCTGAGGGACCCCCCCCCCCTCCACCCCACCCCCCAGGAAGTTCCCTCAGGATTTTTTTTTTTTTTTTTTTTTTTGTTTTTTGTTTGTTTGCTTTTTCCAATGTTTTTGCTTGATTCCGCCTTCGATCGGGGAATCTGATCAGTAGGAGGAGGAGGATGAGGAGGAAGAGGAGGAGTGGGAGAAGGAGGAGGAGGAGAAGGAGGAGGGAGGCGGACGAGGAGGGATGCACTCACCGCCTTCCGTATGCTACAAAGGGAGGGGGTGAGACAGAGGCTTTCTGGATAAACTCTGAAAATGGCGGGTGTCCGAAACCGAATTGGAGCCTGAGGTGGCATACGCCATTTTTTTTTTTTATATATATATATATATATATATATATATATATATATATATATATATAAAAAAAAAACCGCAGGGGGGCCAAACGATCCTCAAACCTATTATTCATACTGTTGCTACAGCCATCATTACTACTAGCACCACTAGCAGCTAGTATGACTGCTACTACTACTAATAATACTATCACTACTACTACTAGTGCTAGAAATGTGTTGCCACGGTGTTTGGCACTCGTGTTACAAACACATACGGTTGTCGCTATTATTGCTACGGTACGACGGCGATCAATGTATTATTTTTTATTAGTATTTCGACGACGGTTACGACTACTACTACTATTGCTACTACTATTTCTTCTGTGAGTATTAGTAGTATTACTTTCACTACTCCTACTACTACGACGACGACTACTACTATTATAACTACTACTATTTCGACTATTGCTATCACTACTGCTGCTGCTACTAATAACACCACCACCAGCACCACCACCAACACCAGTATCATTATACTATTACATTACTACCACTACGACTACGACTGCTACTACCACTATTACGGCGACTACCATCACCACTACTACTACCACTACCACCGCTACTACCATTATTTCTATTACTCCCATTACCACGACCGCTGCCACGACCATTCGTATGACCATTACCACGACTTTTGCTTCTACCACTAGTACTACTACTACTACTACTACTACTACTACTACTACTACTACTACTACTACTACTACTACTACTACTACTACTACTACTACTACTACTATTACCTATACGACCACCCTACGGGTGATAAGGAGGGTGGGGGGGGTGGAGGGGCCGAGCAATGGGCAACCTTTGTGATTGTTCTCCTGACGATGCCAGTGGAGATTTTTTTGTTGGAGGCCTGCTGAAGCCCCTCTTGTCGCCACTGACTAAATCGCCTTTAAATATTGCTCAACGGCTGCCCTTGGGCGGGCGGGTCGGTCAGTTGACACGAGGTCTTTGTCGAGGACACTTTGAAACCCTGATCTGTGAGCGGCTTCGTATCGTCGAGGGACTCCATTGTGGTTGCGCTTTGGCCGCGCACCATCAGCCACACCCTGTTTGCACCGATGTTATTGGCACCGTCGTGACAGACTGCCAAACCTTGGAGCGGGTCCTCGACGATGCGACTCACAGGCACAGGCAGAACGACATCGCCGGACACCACGGAGAGGCAGCAGTTGATACGCACGGCACTCGTGGAAACCACTGCGCCCAGAGGCGTCATGCTCACGTCCATGATGTACCGCTTGGCAACCCCGTTCTCCTGGCGAAGAATGCCCCGGATGTTGGACCGGTGCTTGGCGCCTGTCAGAGACTGGGCGTCAAGCTGGGCCGCCACTTGGTCAGGGGCCGAGCAGTCGTAGAGTGTCGGGGCGGCATCGGTGATCACGTCTACGTCCACCCCCCCCGGTGGCATCCCGAAGACGGCAATTCCGGAGGAAGAGGCGGCCGTCCTGCGTGTACATCGCGTCTCGCTGTAGCGGCGCGTCCAGGAGGCACCGATTGTCTGAAACGTGATGGGCTTGGGGTGGGCAATCGCGTCGGCCAACGCCACAGCGCACGTGGGGTGTGCCGCGGCCTCCATGACACTCGCTAAGCCGTGACCGGAAGATGGCGCCCCATGGGCGGCGAGCACCTCGGCCGACAGACCGGTGGCGTCCAAGCCTGTCAAAGACTGGGCCTGCTCGCCAACGGTGCTGATGTGGGCCCCCGGCCAGATGTTGATCTTCACCTCGCCGTTCTCAAGCGCAGCAGTGCATCCGAGCACAGCGACGCCAGACCCCGGGCGCACGTGGGCGAAGTACTCGTGCGCCTTTTTCCACACGGCCACCACGATCTTCCCGCCGCCAGTATCCGCGAACTCCGCTTCGGCCACCATTGGGAGGCTGCCGTTCTTACTGATTTGCTTGGGAGTGGTGATGCCGAGGAACTTGCCGCAGAAGTCGAAGGCCGCCCGGTTGTTTGCACCAGTAGCAGTCCCCCTGAGAAGCTCACGATGCCCTTGATATCCAATGCGATCTGGAGCCCCTTAGCGGGATGCGCCAACGCTTCCGTGCTGGTGGGCGGGGCTCGGTCTAAGCTAAGCGGAAAGCTTCGATCTACCTCTTGCTCTGCCCCTACTCAGATGGCACGGGCCCGAACGCGAGCAGGGCTCTTCAGAAACAATAATCAAGATACGGGGGCCTTCAGGGGCCTCGGTGCGGCGCGACATTGCACCGTGGATCGGCCCCGGAAGCGGCGCAACACTGTGCGTGGTGGAGGAGAACCTGAGAGGGGACCTCATTCGCTGTCTCATTCGGTCTTACTACCGATCTCACAATCGATATCACTATCGTCGTCATCATCATCATCAACATCATCATCATCGCCATCATCAAAGCCTTTCTCCGTTCATCTCGACTGATTCGCAGGTTACTCGCTAGTCTTGGGAATGGGGCTGATGCCATTGGGTTGGTTCGGCATGCTCGATATCTTGGGATCCAGATTGGTCCAGAAGGTTGGAAGCACGCGTGGGGCACCGCTCTGCAGAAATTTCATCAGCGTTGTGTTGAGATTCGGAGACTTCGGATTGGGCTCGCTATGACTATTAGAACGTACGTGATATTTGCCGTCTCGGTTCTCAGGTTTGTGATGCAGTTCTGTATTCCGTCGTCGGCGGTTCTGAAGTGCGAAGGGAACATGCAACAGAAACTCATGGCGGGTCTTCGGTTTGCTTTCAACAGACTGATGTGTACCAGGATGTGCGACCTCGGCTTATCGTTGGAGTTCCCTGGTCTGGCCCAGATCGGCATTGCTACTCAGGTTCGCCTTGCCCACAACAGTGCTGTATTCCCGCGAATCCGTGGTCTGATTCTTGGTTTTTCTCAGGAGGACGATTTCCACCCTGCTCGGATGCGGCATCCTTGGTGGCAGCGCACGTTCTGTCGGTCTCTGATTGGCATGTGGGGTGGGCACATCCACCTGTGCGCTGGCTTTCTTCAGGCCTCGGGGTTTCAAAAGAAGCTCACGCGAATCCTTCGTGTCCGTGCTCCTCCGATCTCTCCTATCCGCTGCCTTCACGCCCGGGTGGTCCGATGGGCCCCTGGGGTCTCAGTCGCCCAGATCTCTGCCGCCGTTCAGGTTGTCCGCAAGGTTTGCAAGGTAAGTTCTCTCTATCTGGGGCTCGCGGTCTCACGTGTCCTGGCGAGGGGTGTCTGTACCAGTGCTAGATTTCATCATGGGCCTATCGGATGCTGCTGGAACTGTGGTGCCCCTGGGGCCAGCGACTCTATGGGGCACTATGCGGTATGTCCTGAATTTCGACGGCTGAGTTTAGCTCTCGCCCCGTGTCTCCATCCTTTTTTCGCGAAGAGTCCTGGTTCCGATGTTTAACCTTTATTGCCCCTCCCCCGTTTTTTGAGCAGCGATTAATCTGTGCGAGCCTCTTAGATGGATTCCTCTTTGTCCAAGCCAGCTTCCGTGAGGGGTCCAGGCTGTCGCCGATGGATCTCCTCAAAGGCCGCATCCGCTTGCGCACTCGGCGGCGCCCCAAGGTTGCTCGTGCCTGGTCTGCCTCTTCCTAGTAGGGGTCCCATATACCTTTGCCCCCCTGGGGCTAGTGGCTCACTGTCCCTTCTGGGACCTGCGGGGTCGTACGCTGTACATGTACCATTATGTCGTCTTGTTGCTGTGTTCTCCTCGTGCCCCGCTGGGGGCAGCGGGCTTGGCCCCGCTCTCTGCTGATGCCCGCGTCGGGGGTTCCCGAAAGCCGCTCTCTCTGCTCCTCTTGGGGTCCTTTGCGCGGCCCGTGTTTCCCCAAACAGTGCTTCTTGCGGCGTCCATTGGCTGTTGCAAGTGACAAGCCTTGCTTCAGCTGCATTGGCCGCCGACGATTCCTTTTTAATTTTGCTGCCGCCAGGTTACCGATGAAGTACCGCAAGGCTCCGCCTGCTCTCTGGAGAGAGATTTTGTGAGGGCAGGGTCTGTTTTCCTCGATCGTCGCATGG